ATAATAATAATCTTTATTTTCTATAGATTTACCTACTGTAAATATGAGAAATTGTCAAGCGTAAATGTAAATACAGACAAACATATAAAACAAGCAATTAAATACAACTAATAAACTAATAAACTACAACAACTACAAATAATAGTATATAGATAGGTATACATAAGAAATAGCTTTAAAAACCGACAATACATGTAAAACAAATTTAAAATTTAAAATGGTCCCTAACGCCAGTCCAAGAGATCGCTAGTGAGGTATTCCTCTACATTGTAAAAAGAATAATACTTTAATAATTTTTTTACTTCGAATTTAAAAGGTATAATATTTGAAATATCTTGGATATCATGAGGCAGATGATTATATAATTTGAGTGACATTTTTGCAGACGATTTGGAGACTTGGGTAGTTCTACAGTACGGTATGTGTAGTATGTTTGAATTTCTTAATTCGTATGGATTCAGATCACTTCTCTTCGGGAATTTTTCTAAATTTGTTTTTATATAAATTACGCAATTATACAAAGAATAAACAGTTAAAATTCCATTTTGTTTAAAATAAGATCTACAGGAACTATTACGTTTTAAATTGAACTATTTAAACTATTACCACCACGCGTTACAAAAATACATTTATTATTATTAACTATTACCATTACTTGGTCATACAGAACTCGATAAGTTGTTGCATCAAAATTAAAACATTATTACAATTTTCATTTTATTATGACAAATTAATTATTAAAAATGCATATGAACAACCAAAACGCCAACTGAATATTATTCTTTAAAAAATTTCAGTAAATATTCAAAAACATTTTAGTTTTGGCAAACGTTAAAAATGAATATCAGCATAATATTATCGGAATTTATTATTATATCTGTAACTGCAACTGTGAAAGAGCATGTCAAGAATATCCTGAAAAAAATAGATCGGAATTTGTTTGAATTTTAAGCACTCGAGAAGCCTAGAAATAATTATGGACACGGGAACAAAACTCTAATTAATTATTAATAAGAAAGAATAATATCCGCTATTCACTCATCTCTACCTTTACGTTGTTGCCACCTAAACAGATTTCTACGGTTCGATTGGCCTGAACTGGCGTCATCCCTGTTCGCATTTCGGTGTAAGTAAATCGAAGTCGCAGTGCTCGAAATAGTCGAAATCGCCTAACACCTAACCCGACAATGAGCTCGGTCCGCGCCAGTCGCCGGTCACAGTAAATATTTTAAAATATTAGTTGCTACTAAAAATAGCAGATAATTTTGAAGCTCGTAGCAGTTAGCATTATTAAGAACCAAACAGCAGTTAAAATAAAAGCAGGCTGCTATTTAGCAACCCATCACTAACTCTAATAATGTTTTATTGTAACGCGTGGTGGTAATAGTTTAAACTAGGTGGATTTCCCAGGGTCTAACGACACTTAGAGTGTACGGTAATTCAATGAACATATAAATCTAAACAAAAAATTTAGATAAATTTGGAATGAATACATTGAAGATGAATTTTTCGAGACAAAACGTCTGAATCTCGAGGCAGTACAGTATTGGGGGGTCATGAAGGCTTGCAAAAAATGTAATAAAATTTCTAAGGTCGTATTTAAAGAATGAAGCTGATGATGGTCCTGGAAAGACGAAATGATACATATAAAAATTGATTATGCCATTCGATAGAGGGCAAAATGAGAAAATGTTGTTCTTTTTTCAATATCATCTCAAACGAGGATGAAATGAATCATAATTGGAATTCCACAATTTCGGTTTTATTCAAATACTTCCGACACAGATCACATTAGCCTTGATTTTTTAGAAGCATAATGTTGGTCCCCTGATTACGCAACTTTGCCCCCATTTAAGCTAGTTCGTATCTTTTACCGTTTCCGAGATCCCTAGGGAGAAGCGAATTTGTAACACCCTGTAAATTCTACAAAATAAATTGTATCGCTATTTGAAACACATATTGATGTACATGATTAGGATTCACTCTGAACATTGGTAATGTAAGAAGATATATTTTTAGACATGGACAAAACAGGTGCATATTACATTGTATCTATATTAATACACTTGGCTACAGAACCGCACGTAAACTTGTTGATGTTTTACAAGATAGGCTTTACATCATGCTTCAATTTAAATATTTACAGTCGGTCTCTAAAATGCACCGATTTTTGCCTGTACTAGTACTAATCGCAGTCATCACACTAGTAGCTTTAGAACTTGAGCAACATATTTGTTTCAGTTGATGACGCTGCAGATGATTCTTGTATTTAGTTTCGAAGGGGCAGTTGTTACACTTGTATGTCTGGACTTGAGGAGGATTTTTATGTTTCAGTTCGTGCTGTCTGATATTATCCTTGTGCTTAGTTTCGTAATCGCAGTCGTTACACTTGTATGTTTGTACTAGCAAAGGTTTTTTATGTTTCAGTTGGTGCCTTTTGATAACACTCCTGTATTTAGTTTCCAAATCGCAGTCCTTACATCTGTACATTTGAACCTCCGAAGGATCTTTATGTTTCAGTTGATGCTCTTTGAAATACCTCTTAAATTTAGTTTCATAATCGCAATCGTGACACCTGTACGTTTGAACCTGTGAAGGATCTTTATGCTTCAGTTGATGCCGTTTGAGATACCTGTTGTATATAGTTTCGTAATCGCAATCCTGACACCTGTACATTTGAACCTGTGAAGGAACTTTATGTTTCCATTGATGCAGTTTAATATTATTCTTGTATTTAGTTTCGAAATCGCAGTCATTACACCGGTACATTTGAACCTGTGAAGGATCTTTATGTGTCAGTTGGTGCTTTTTGATACAAATCTTGTACACAGATTTGTAATCGCAGTCATTACACCTGTACATTTGAACCTGCGAAGGATCTTTATGTTTCAGTTGATGGTGTTTGAAATAACTCTTGAATTTAGTTTCATAATCGCAATCGTGACATCTGTACATCTGAACCTGTGAAGGATCGTTATGTTTCCTTTGATGCATTTTAAAATTATTCTTGTATTTAGTTTCATAATCGCAATCTTGACACCTGTACATTTGAACCTGCGAAGGATCTTTATGTTTCAGTTGATGGCGTTTGAAATAACTCTTGAATTTAGTTTCATAATCGCAATCTTGACACCTGTACATTTGAACCTGTGAAGGATCTTTATGTTTCCATTGATGCAGTTTAATATTATTCTTGTATTTAGTTTCATAATCGCAATCTTGACACCTGTACATTTGAACCTGCGAAGGATCTTTATGTTTCATTAGATGTTTCAGAAGTAATATATTATTTTCAGTTTCGTACTCGCACGATTCACATTCATAAGCTTCCAAATCGTTCTCATGGCTCGCAAAGTGTGCTGTAAAACGGATCTCACTTTCAGTTTCGTAGATACATTTATCACATTTGTACAATACTTTGCGCTCCTGCTTGGTTTTCATTTCTGATCCAATCTCATGTTTACATCCATCCTCTTCTTCATCTTTACAGTCACTCTCCTCGAATGGTACAATATCGGAGGTCTGAAGTGGCATGTCACTGAAAAAATTTGCATATACAGCGTAGTAACCATAGTACTGATAGTATAATTTTAACTTTAATGATGAATCGATTCAGATCTTTGTTAAGTATTAAGTATCAGAAAAGGCATTTGCAAGATGCTATGTATAAAGTCACACAATAAATCCATAAACAAAGTTAGATACAGATAATTTAAATACAATCTACAATGGCACTATTAATAAATTTATTAAAATTTAAAATCTATATATTTTCTTCATCAAAAAATGTCATGAGAAAAAAAATGAAAATTAAGACTGGAAAAAAAAATTCTTTCGGAAATATATTTTATACAATATTCACAATGTTATACAAATATCAAATAAAGTTGTCCTTTTTTTAGTGCGGTTTCCACTGTTTTCAAACGTCGATTTAAAAATTATTTGCAACAAGTTGTATAGCCCCAATCAATTGCTGTATTTCCTTCTATCTATATAACGATCTATCCTTTCCATTTCAAGGAAATTTCAATTTCTGTCCAAAGTTAATAAATTGATTGAATTAATGGAATTTAGTACAGCATTCATGGTACCCTAATCGGACTCGAAGCCAACTGATTGTTTTATAACGATCTTACGTATTTTCCCAATAATTTGTTAACCTAACGCTTAATGATATACAAATTTGTACGATATTGTTTGTAACGGATAATCTCATAATTTGTTAGAGTTTATCACCAGATGGTACGCATTTAATCATATAAATCACGAAATGTCCGAACCACGGGCTGCTATTTTTTAAATTAATATAAAATAGTCTCCTCTTACCTCGTTTCCTCATCTTCCGATTTTATGTCGACACATTCAGCTTTGATTGACATTTCCATCTCGTTAATATCGAATTTCTTGTCCGGGTTTTCAGTTTTAACGAATAAATCAAGTTGAGACGTATCTATTTGACTTCCTGTGGCTGAACTATCAAAAATACTTTTAATTTTTTCTTCTACCTCTGAGCAATCTTTTAGGAAACTGTTGTGAGTACACAGAGAATCGAAGCATCTCTTACAAACAACGGGATCTTTGATGATATTTATAAACTGCAAAGCAGTTTCGTTAAATTATAAAATATGCAAGTAATTGATATTGTTCATACCATTTCAGGTGTCAATTTCTCAATAGCTTCAAGTTCCTCTTCACATATGCACCTAAACTCACTTTCTACTGGGTGCATACACAATCGACATATTTTCTGACTGCAAACTAATTCACTTTTCTTTTCCTGCATGTACACTTCTCTTAAGTCGAGCTGTAACATTTTTTCGCTATCCACATAAGGAATAATTGTGTTATCAGTATTCAAACAAGTCGACTTAAATTCTGAAGCCGCATTTAACTTTCTTCTGCAAGCGTTACAAATAACCTCTCTGCTCTCATCATCAAATTTCTGAAAAATACGCATCTTCAGACAGAAAGAAAATAATTGTGGCGGAAAATAACAATTAAATACTAAAAGTTAATTTACACTCGAGACTGTTAGGATGTAATCTAATTATAATTCACTCTTACCAATTTCAGCAAAAGACCATTTAGAATGTCTCTGACAATGTTGTTTATCATTTCAAAACTTTCGTCGGTTACAGTTTTAAGGCAAAGCCTACACGACGTTTCCTTAACATCAGTCATTACTCTGCAACAATCTTCTTTTAAATATAAACAGAAAATAGAACGCAGACAAAAATACAAAGCACAAAGCCGTCAGTGGCCACTTCTAACCTTCTTGCTTCTTATATGACAACATTGGCAGTTGGCACTATTGGCATTGGCAGCGCACCTAGTTGTTTATGGGTTATGGTTAGCAATAGAGATGGGCGAAACATAATAATCCGGCTCTCCGTACTCCATGGCTAGAAATTGGCCTCAATGATTTGGGATCGAGGGGGATTATCCCTCTTTATCCTGCCTCATCTCGTGTAGGCCTGGACAGCCTTCGTAGGTGGGCCCCATCCGTCGTCTACCCCGACCGCAAATGCGGCCGGTGTAGGCGCTTTGTGGGACCTCCTTTTGTCCTGGCTGGGCCCCGCCGGCTAGGGCCCTTTCTTCTGGCGCTCTTCTTGCTTCGCCGGCTCGTCTGTGTAAACCCCGGGGGTAGTGTCATGTTTATGTGTGGTATGGTTGGGTAGGGTAGTGCGGCTATGCAGCCTGGGATGCGCTTTGCTAAGG